TACGTCATGTCTACGTTTATCTACGCGGACCACAACCTAATAATATATATTTTGCCACTGGGTATATTTGCAATTTAATAAAGCGTACTTGTATCTACTCTGGAGGCTTTGCATGAAGTGCTGTGGCACTGTGAGCTCCGGTTGGAGAAAGAAAAGAAGTCGTGCATGGCAAAACACGTGAACTGGGCCTTTTATTCATTACCAAATGAATGAATGGATGATAAAAGGGAATATGTTGATGGATGTGTATGCATTTATTTTAAAATTTTAACCCGTTTTAGTATACAACTGTAATTATTGGGCACCGCAATCATTCTCCACCAATAAGATTCAGCTAATGGATGGATGAGAGGGGCATTCTGCTTAATATGTTATTTCGTCATTTAATGACGATATTCATCCATTTCGCTCCAGATGTGCCCATGCACATGGGCAATGGGTAGACACGATGTGGACCCTGGATTGCGCCACGTGGTCATCGAGGTAGAGATGACGCGATGCAGCGCTTCTTGTTGTTATTATTATTATTATTATTATTATTATTATTTTGTGATTTTTTTTTTTCACGGGAAATCATGCGGAAGTAAAAATATTTCTATTGTTACTGTAGAGGGTCCAAGCTGGCACAATGGCAGTAACTTGTAGTCTCTGGTCAATGTGAAGGTCATTAAAAAAAAGTCATGTAACATAATTCACAAGGTGTCTTCACCATTGAAGTACTTGAAAAATAAATAAATTAAATCAATAAATTAATTTATTTACATTGTAAGCAAAAAGCAAAAGTAAGCAAAAGTAATTCTAATCCCAGAGAAGTAAAAAATTAGTTGTTTCAGATTTGAGAATCCTATTGAGTAATGCAATCAGAAAGTTCTACAATAGACGGTTGTGAATGATTACAAAGTGAGGAAGAAGGAAAATTAGAGAATGCAAAATCCAAAAGAATCTGGATTCTTTGTTTCATTTCATTCCCCTTTTGAGCTTGCATCAATTCATTGCATAAATTAGCTCTCATCACTGCGTCTAGTCTATTTTATATGAGCCTAGCTTCCATTTGACCACATATTCCAAATGCATGTAAGTAGGTAAGTGAATAAATAAATAAAATAATGAATGTTAAGTCATTCTCTATGTTACCTCCACCTCATGGTCTATGCTCCATCTCATAGTACAGGTCATCACCTTGTTTCCATTTGTCAACTTTTTTCTTTTTATGAATTTGAATAAGTGAATAAGTGAGTAGAATAAAAGAATCGCGTAAATTATTCCGTGTGTACCTTCCCAATGATAACCTCCCTAATATTGTGAGGGTAATATTGCTTACTTTTGCTTTTTGGTTCCTCCCTCTGTCCATGTCATTCATTCATTCATATCTCCCAGATACGTTCATTCATCCAGGTGATGTGGAGGAGCCCCCTTCTTCGATTGCACGGTGAGGGGTTCACTCAGCAACTTGTCTGCCAACTCAGCATTTTATAAATACATTATATATATATATATATATGGTGACGCCACGTTTCTCTCCCTGCACAACACAGGGGGACACAAAAAGAGGTACGTGTTGTACATATTTCTGATAATAAATACGGAAAAAAAAGAAAAAAAGAAAAACCCTTCACCTTTGAAAACAATTGTTATGAAGACCAGAGTGTGAATTTTAATTTGAGTAACTGATATTATTTTAATGAGAAATCTATCTTCGCCTTCTGCTTCTTCCCTCTTTCTAGTTTGTTTGTTTATATTTTTTTAATTTGCAGCTCTGCTTGTGGTGAATGTTGATGCCCCTTCTTACAGTGGAAAGGACTACATGCTCTTTCACGGATGTGTCCTTCTGTACATTGTGTCCATTTTTTATCATTTTTGTACACATATGTACAATCTTTTAAAAAATAAAATAATACAAGTGATTTTTACAGTATTAAAATTTTCAACGACATGTTTGAAGTGCCTGGAATGCACACACCCATACACACATGCAAATGGTTATTTCAAAGCTGATCCAAAGTGATTTATGATTGTAATTAGATTAGCAGTAATGTACTGTTCAATAATTTAATGTGTTCAATTCTCGTGTATTTTTAATCAAATTATATTATGTTCAATTAGTGTGTGTGTTCAGTAGAATTGACAAGAGTATTTTGTTTTTCTTCTTCAGTACAGTGAACACCAGAGGAATTGTTTTACACTTTGAATAAGTGAGTGAGCATATGTGTAATTGTGTGCATACATACATACGTACATACATACATGTATATAAACCTATACTTCGACAATCCAGTGAAACATATGCAATGGCATGGCACACACTACCCATACATACAGACACAAAGGCATTTTGCTTCAGCTATATAGTTATCACTCATTTTAAATAATGTGAAAGTGCAAATTTTAATAATAAAATAGGAATAAAGAACAAGTGAATGCATTCTTCCTTCTTCGTCGTTGTCCTTGTCGTCATCGTCGTCTTCATCGACATGGTTGGCGTTCGCTGCCGCGTCTGCAGCGGACGGTGCATCCAATGCACAAGGCAAATGAATGGGCAGAAGGAGAAACAGAAAAAGAAAATACTTACCAGTCAAGTTTGACGTACAGCTTTTTCATTTCAAGAGGGTTTCCTACATGTTCAGGGATTTCTGCACACCGATTCCATAGCCCAACAGGCTTTCATCGCATTTGTTCGCCCCTGATGCAAACGATGGATTGGATTGCGGACAAGTCGCGCCCATGTTGTAGCTCTTCGAAGCTTCGATGACTACAATACCGAGGGGGCTGTACAATGCCGAGAATAGGTGACCGGGCAGTACTGTAGTAGTTTGCAGGCGCGATTCCTCCCTCTCCCGAGACGACCACAGTTTGTGTACACAGCCGCGGAACCTGGATCAGCAGACGGAGGAAGGGAGGGGCACTGCACATCATTCTGGGAGGACACCCAAGTTCGGCGTGATCAAGTCTGGACGGCACGTGCTACCGATGCGGTTGATGTGGTCAAGTGAACCCAAGCCTTCTGAGCAAGCTCAAGAATGTGCCGTAGGGGGGAAAAAATAATCTGGAAAAAGTAAAAGAAGGAAAGTAGGTGAAGAAGAAGAAGCAGCAAAAGTGCTGTCACTTACCGCTGCTAGGAGTGGCTGATCACCAGCCACTTGAGGAACAGGCGGGACCCTTCCGATGGAGTCAGTGTCGAGAGTGGACAGCAATGTAAAAAGGAACTTAGGGTGACAGTCATATGGTGGCCTGAAGGGTAAGATTTTTCTGAGAGACGCGAAACGTTACGCCAGGGCATGCAAGTCTTGCTGCAGGGAAGGAAGGTTTTACATTGGGGCAGCTGTTTTTCGAAGGGTAAATTTAATAGGTCGTTGTCTCTTTCGACTGTCAACTGTAAAGACAAGGCTAGCCACGGCTAAATTCGCGTCCTTCATGTTGCGTGGGGCGGGGGGCCTGGCCAATGGCAATGATGGCCGCTATTTGACCGAGTTCCTGCATCCTTCTTGTCCTTTCTGATCCGTATAAGACACCGTTGCTCGATTTGACCGGCGGTTCTATGCAAGGGATATCTATTCTTACGGGTGGGATGGCGAGATAAACTTGGAAATAGCCCCAAATTTAGGGGTGTTCGAATGTCCACCTCCAGGGCTTATTCATGTCGAATATAGCCGGCATATTTCGAGTAGGCGGTATTGCCCGGGGCAGCAGTGAAGGTGAGGAATTTCGATGCTGCGTCAAGATGCCGTGCGGAAGGTTGTAATGTTTTTGTTTTTCAACACAGTACTGCAAAGCTCCATGCCTTAAGTGGGACAATCACAAAGTAGACCTGGGCTTTAACAGGACAGGAGAAGTGCTTATGAAGTGTGATCAGCAGCAGGAGACTTGAAAAATGGACATTGCGATGCCGAAGTTGCCTCACATGCCATGCAGAATGTTCTCGTAGAATTTGAATGAGAATGTATATCAGCAATTAAGGCCCTTATTTAAAAATACTTGGCATTGGATTTCACCAAATCCCCTTTCTTAATCTACTAATTTGGCCATCGTTAGTCAAGTGCACCGCCATCAAAAATGACTTCAAAGACAACGTCTCCGAAGTCATCTGTGATGAGGGGTGCACTTGACTATAGTCTTCAGCACATGCCGACATGTTCTGTGAACTTGCTCCTGTAATTCATTAATCCTGAAGATTAGCTAAGACAGTGCAAAATACTGCAACTAAAAAGCAGCTGTTGTTTGCATTGGTTCTAAGAACCCCCAGTTGCAGCTTCTTCTAGATACATGATAGTCATTCAAACTTTTTGAAACCGCGTTTTGATTGATGAGGAGCACAACATTGAACCGTGTTCTTAAGCTGAAGCTGACCATATTCTCATCAGTTGAACTCTCCTTGGTCTCTGGCTGTTGGGTTTAGTCGTACGGCCGACGGTTAACAGAAGAGATCTACAAATGCTTTGGTGGACGACAAAATTGTCTCTCAAGCAAGATTCTTCTGAGCATTGACTCAATGCTCCATTCGCATCATTGAGAAGCTCCCTCACAATGTCGGAGATTGCAGAGAAGTCAGGGGATCACCGCTCTGCAGGCAAGGTATATATATACATGGGCATCGTCATAGTTCCACTGTTTCATACAGACACGTACCCAGTCATGTGCGGCGGTCACACTTACGGCCACAAGTACGAACTCTTGTACAACTTTATGTAGAGGCATTTTGTTTAACAGATAATAAGACTTTACATAGTATTGAGCACTACCCAGTGATTATGATTTGTCTTTTCATAAAATAGAAGAAGAATCATGGCGCTCAGAAACTCAGCACATTTGTGGAATTTTGAAATTAAATTGAGGCCAGTGACTGGTGCGATGATTGCTTTATGATGGTGAAGCCGAGGAACTTCTAACCATTCTTACCACTCCTTGGAAAGGCAATTTTGTTGTGCCAAGTAATAATGAAAAAGAACAAAAAAAAAGAAGGGTTAAGCCGAGGCTAACCTCTCTGATCTAGCGACCGGTGCGTTGAAAACTAGCGCTACACAGAGCAAGTGAATGTCTACAATCTCAACAACCAACACCAAAGTATTGACAGCATCCGGTTGTCAGAAATTGTGTGGAACCGATCGAGACAACTCTGAAGAAGATCGAAACCACCCACTTGCTTAAGTTAACCCTTGTCGCTTTCCGTAAGGACCACGCTCTTCTCTCGCAATCAAAAGTCCGGCGTCGACTCCATAAGAGTAGGTTGTCACCTCTACGAGATTGACCTACACAGAGCAAAGCATTTGATTGGTTTTGTTTTGCACACTTTGTTGAAGACTCGGCGCAACTGCACAGCGGGCTGCTGAAACTTGACTTTCATCGTTCGTGTCTGAAGGAGGCTTAGTGTCAGGCAGGAAGTTTCTAAGTCAGACCGCTTAACGAAACAACCCTCTCGCTTAGCGTCACGAACACATTTCCTGGATTGAGTGGATACCTAACTAAGCATCCAGGTCATTAATTTCATGTAAAGTGCAATCATCAACGCCCTCTTTCAGTTCCCAAGTGTACAGCTCCCAAGTCAATGCACTCCAGGGGTGTAGCTATCATTTTTGGGGTCAGGAAAGCGGAGGAGCGTTTTTTCCTCCCTTCTGTGTCGACCACCTTTGGGATTCTGGTGGATGCACCATAAGATGTTGTGCTCGACGACGTCGGCGTTGAAGTACCGTGAGGGGTAAGGAAACACCAGCAGCTGCAAGTTGGTTTTAAGTGCCACTCACTACACATAGGGGGTTCTCAAATGGTCTTTAGAAGCCTAGCTCGGAGAGAGTGAGCGTCGGTGAGCTATTCTTCTTTCAGATTGTTTGAATAAGTGGGGATCTCTTGCCGGACAGTGTAAAGGGACCGATTCGCAGAATCACCAGGCAAAAGCTAGGGGCAGTATCAGGGCTGAGATATCATTTTGCGAACGAGGCACTGGGATCGATGCAGCATGAAATCCTCTGGTGTGATCAAGCAGGCGTGCGATGATTCTGTATGTTTGTTTCGCTGCTTTCACATGTAACGCAATTTAATTTGTAGGAAAATCAGACGTGGGGATTTTTATTTTTCTCGAGCTAGCACAGGTAGTAAGTGACGGAGCACGGAACGAGGATCAATCGAGTGTGTAGAAGTGAGGTGGGTCATTTCCAAGGTGGATCATGGGTGCGAGTAGAGCAGGTGGACGATTTGATTCAGAACACTGGTAGAAAGTGTTTTGCAGGGTCGGCGCTTTACATTCAACCACTCGGAGTCCTCACCGTCAGGGGAATTGGAAAGACAGGCTTCGTGGGGACTACACTAATTAGATGTTCGTGAAACCTCCGATGCAAACCATCACAGGATCAAGAATTCTGTGAACAGTTTCGTTCTTCCTGGTCACGAGCGTCGTAGGGTTTCAGTGGGATCTCTACTCAAATGTCATGAGCTTTAGAGCTGCCATGTTTTCTCCCAACATTTATGAGTAAGTGCACTGATTAATCCTTTGGCTTCTTCGAAGCTGATCGTCCCACTATTGTTTCGAAGAAAGCATAAAGTGGAGTTAACATAATGAGTTGCAGTTGAGCAGCTCAACGGACTAACTGAATGACAAGCACTTTGAGGGACAAGTATGCATCTGTTCTCATTAATTAGTTTGTACTTACGGAGAGCTGTGCAAGTTTTCTTCGCACGTTCTAGGACGCCTTTAAGTGTACAGCGGGTGAACACACTTGAGGGAGGATCTCGGTCTAAACCCTTAGCCTAGACTGTCTGCATTTCAATGTACTCAGGTAATCGTAATAGTACTCTCTCTCCTTGTCACCCTTCCCTTCAGTCAAACCCACACACTCCAGGCAATCGAGTCCAACCTTCTCGTAGCCTTCGCCTGGTCTCTCAGATGCGGCGTTGAGCCACGCCGGCAGCTTTTGGTACTTGTCGGTTGCAGTAGGAGCGTGCGGAGATTTGCTTGCAATCTGAAACATTATCAAATGGCCAACACGAACCGTCTCAAGCAAGGCTGTTTGGCGTATGGCGCCGCCACGGATCCATCCTGAGGGCTACACTTTGTGGCCATGGCTGACAAGGCCCCAAATGAGGAGGAGGCCGGCCACAGTGAAGCTTTCTTTGACCAGTTTCTGCGACGGCTGGATCAAACCGATCACGAAACGACAGTTTCCCCTTCCACTTCACGTTCTTCCATGGCTGCGCCCTCCGAATATTCATCGCTGGCGACGTCTAACCCGTGGCCGATGTTCACCGTCTCTTCTCCTGTGAACCCAGATCTTCAGAGCGCACTCCAAGGCATCTACCGCTCTTCTGTTCCGTCAACGTACCTTTCAACCAACCCTCTCGCAGAATTTCCATGGCTTTTGGAGGACCAATTGATCGAGTCTCATCATAGGGGGGACTCTAAGTTGGCGAGTAATCTAGAATCAAACGACTCCGGTCTGCGATACAGCACACACTACTCGCTGCCTGCGACTCATGGTGAACAGCTGTCCGCGACTCAAGGATCTTTCTTAGGGAGTGCTGGAGTGGAAAATATCGACCCCTCGTTGTCTTCTCAGTCTCTGCGGTGGATAGCAATCAAGGAAGAGCCCGCTTCAAGCCACACAAGCGCTGGCTCTCCGGTCAGACCAGGCTCGGTGGCAAGGAAAGAAATTCAAGGTCATGGAACTTCCACCGGGAGCTACGGTAGCAGTCCCAAATTGGATGCAGGACCAGTGCCGCGGTTTGACAGGACAATCAGCTCCGAAGAGCGCTCAATTCCCAGCCCTAGTCTGACACAATTCGGAGGTAGCTCCCAGAGTCCTCTCTCTCGATCACAGAATTACTGGTCTGCTCCAGCGTCTCCTCGGCTGTCTGAAGCAGTTCCAGGGGCCAGTGCCTCCATCTCGACTTCCGCAGGGACGTCTAACACTTCGTTGCCGTCTGAGTCGACTAGTAATGCAGGTGAGGAGGATGAGGCTGAGAAGAAAGAGATCTCTACAGCCGGCAGTGAGGATGCCCGTGGTGGGAAGAGAAAAAAACCATGGGCATCCACAGCTGGTGGGGAGGGCGGGGCAGCCAGAGAGACGGAGTCCAAAAAATCGGAGCCGAAGTAAGCTTTTCCCTGCACCTGTTTGATTCATTTTCCTGGCATGGTTCCCTCATGCAGTAGAGCCGCAATTCAGGCAGTGGACCTCTCGATATAGCGAACGATTCTCGCAGCTGTTCAATTATAAGCCTTTCCCAACAACTCATAACTTGAGGTTGTTTCTGAAAGGTTGAACCTTAGGTGTGAGCGATGTCAACACTGAATAATCACTAGTGTCCGACCCACTCTGAAAGTTTAGACAACTACAAAAATAAAGTGTTGGATATAACCTCACGTCATGTGCAGTTCTTCTACTGGAGGATTTAGTTCGAATAGAACAATGTGGTACTCTAGTAAACGTGGGCTACACACAGGGTTCAAGTACATGTTGAAAGGGATTCATTGTCTTCCAGGTCAAGGTTATTGTGTATTATCCTACCCTCGATTGGCACTCAGACTTGTGGCAGCCTTTCCATGAGTGGATCTGTGCATCTGGGCACCTCTACATTGGTATGTGCATTTTCAACGTATACTGTGGAAAGTCAACCAACATAGTGTGAACTTATCCGTGTATAACTTTCACTTAGTTCGCATGTGCATACATACATACATACATATATCAAACTTCAGAAAAATACTAGAGATCAATTATTAGAAAATCAATTGTTCAGCCCCCTGTAGACCTGATCACGTGAATTATTTTCGAAGCCCAGATACAATCAGTTGATTACCGCCAGTGCGAAGTTTTGAGCCAGGCCAAAGGTCCAATGATCGAATGGTCTCCATCGCCAGCTGGGTGTATTGGGATGCAGAACCTCAATCGCAGCACATCGTTACTGCCTGCAGATGTTCTGATCCGCAAGTAAGACTCTCCTCATGGAGACTAAATCGAGATCACTCATGGTTAATCATGGGTTAATTAGTTAATTGACCATATTCTTTCTGACGAAGACATTATCCTGTCTGGACGTACGTTAGCTTGATCTTACCATTTGAAGCTTTCGTTGTCCATCTCCGAGACGGAATCATTGAAGCTAGGATTTATCCACCTAGCTCTGCATGAGTGCGGAAGCGTAATAGTCTACGCTAAGAAAGTTTGGCATAGAGTAGATATTTTCGATGAATAGGAAGATTTTAGACGACGTCTCTCCTTCAGGTTCTATGATTGTTGTCGATTGATTTGCTCAAGTTCTTAATAGACTCAATGTAGTATACTTTTAGAGGTTTTTGGTTTCAAAGATGTAGGTCTTTTATATTTTCAGTCAGGCTAACGAGCAGATAAAACCTGGCTGAAGGTGGCCAGGCAAAAAGTTTCATGCATTTGCACTCGTTGATTGATGCTTTGCAAATGATTCCTGGAAAGTAGTTTCCTTTTATTTCCCTTTCTCAGTTATCGGAAACAACTTTACCAGAGAAAGAATAGGAATTGTAGTCATGTCATCTGTACTTGTTTATGTTGTATGGAATTCCTACTAACCTGGAACACTAATCCGATTAAATGCCACATCAAGGCTGCATAGGTTACTAGTGATTACTTAATTTCAGAAGCTGAAGTTCACTGGTATCGATGTTAGTTATTGATGTCACCTTCTGAACCCAAAGTAAGAATGATTTCAAATAAACTTCAGGAGCCTGTGAGTGTTCTCGTTGCATTTCTTTTTATGAAACTGTCGCATAGAAATGCGGAACTTTGCCTTCAAGAGCCAACTTAAACCCCTCTCAAAAACTTTCCTCAGCTTCATGGGTCTATACAGGTCTGAGCTTTGGGGATTATACTTGGCATTAAACAGAAGTAAGCAGTGTGTGTTTTAGGAAAGTCACTGAAGATATTACTGATGCTGATTCTGTGCATTTTTTGGAAGAAACAAGCCCAGGAAACGCGGGGGAGCCAAGAGATTGAGGGAACCTAGATACGCTATCAAAACCAGAACAGATGTGGATGTTCTCGATGATGGGTTTAAGTGGCGTAAATATGGACAAAAAGCCGTGAAGAATAGCCCTCATCCCAGGTAAGATCTAGAACCTTTTTTTTTTTTTTTTTTTTTTTTTTTTTTTTTTTAAAGACTCCAACTTTAGGATAATAATAGCAGGATACCATTAGCTAGTGTTTATTGCAAAGTCACGCAATTGATATGTCTTTAATGTTTATTGTCTATCGTCAGGATATAATGGATGCACATCTTCGTCAGGGGCTTACAACAACCCCACTTGATTCTGACAGAATTTAGATTTAACTCAAAATCATGTCTTACATCCCTGTTACGATCCCCATTACATGTGTCATAGAAGTTATGTTTTCACTCAATAGTGGTATCCTGCTACTTAGAATCTAGAACATGGCAGTTCATGACAATTAAGGACGTTCACGTCGATTGCCCAGCCCGCTGGTTAAGCGCCAGCGTTTGTGCCTTCATCAATTAATGGTTGAAGAATTATTTTACCCGCGCAGTCAGAGAAAACTAGCCAACAACTTCCGCAGGGCAATCGACCTAAATAATTTTTGTGTGTTTATTGCACGCTGCAGAAATTACTACAGGTGCACAACTCCTCTATGCCCAGTGAGAAAAAGAGTGGAGAGGTCAAACGAGGACGCAGGCTTGGTGATCACCACCTACGAAGGCACCCATTCTCATCAAACACCAGGGTTCCACCGACCTGCAGAAGGCTACTTCAGCGACAGAGCAACAGTTGGTGGCGGCCTCTTCCCGAACCCCGGACAGAGTCCCCTGGGCCCTGGCTCGAACTTGTTACCCCTCCCTCCGGGGTTTGATCTAGCGTCCCTCCAGCAAGCAACGGCACTTCGAAGCATACCAGGCCTGCAGCCCAATCAGAATATTCCAGGATCGAACCAGCAGCAGCAGCAGCAAATGAACGGACTATCGAGAGGGCCGTTCAGTTACCCAGGACAAGAGAATATGTTCAGAACATCGCCGTTCTTGGGATTACAAGACCCTGCATTCGGAATCGTCAAACATGAGCCATTTCATTTTACTCCTCAAGCGCCGGATTTCATGTCTGGGAACATGGCCAGCTTGCCGCATCTTAACGTCCGGCAACAATTCGAGCAGCCTGGTTCGTCACTAGCTCGTCCCGGAGCAGGACCATCACAGCCATTGGACTTCTCCACACCCAATCACACGAGTGTGCACAGGTCAAGCTCCGGGCCAATCCCGCAAATTAGTTCTCCATTATTCACAGGACTAAATTTCCCTATCTTCCCATCATCCAGCAACACGGGTCCAGCTTCTAGCTCAAGTACTCCGCGTGAGTCTGATCCATCAAATCTCATGATGTGTAGGGGACAAACTAGACACGATGCAGGAGTAGGAGGTAGCGGTAGTCGAATCGGTCAAAGCCTAGAAACACGCATCAATAGGTGCCACCCAGGTCAACCAAATTTTTATCATGTTCCATCTTCGGAGACTCCGCTGCCTGGTCGATTGATCAGTGGCAGCCATGGTCTTGGTTCTCCGTTAGATCCACTCACAAGAACTGGTCAGCAGAGGTCTATCATGTCCACGATGCAGTCCCACGTTCAACAGACGAGATCATCTTCGGGGGTAAGTTCTTCCGGTGAGCAATCTCCGGAGAGTCTGACGTTGCCCGACGCGGCGGGCGGAGAGGGACTGTTGCAGGACATGGTGAGACACGGGGGGCCAAAGGTGAGCAAGAGCTGAATTGCTAACTTCCAATCCATCTAGCCTTCTTCACTGCGTTAGACCTTTGCACAGTATACGTAGTTTGATCTGGCTCCACTTTACCAATTTAATACACAAAAACAAAACAGAAAAACAAAAAAAACATAAAATAAGAAAGAAAGATTAAAAAAAAAAAAAAAAAAAAAATCAATTCACTGAATGATTTTGAATTCCATGCCAGCCTTATGCACATTGCAATTACATGTAAGGTCTTGCTCTATTGGTAGACTTGCCCCGCGTCTGATGAAGTAGACTGGTTTGATGCCCGTTAGAGATGCCGAAAGGACTTGAAGATTCTAGGTACCTAAGCTGATTTATTTGAGTGTCGCCATTCAATTCACTTGGTGATGTCCTTCGCTCAAGTGCCTGGACGCTCACAGGCCAGGCTACACCATCACCCTACGATCAAGTACTCATGGCCAGTATATCAAACACATATGCGGATGATTTGGAATTGTACCCAGTGCATATTTGCAGGGACAGTTTTTGACAAACAGTTTTAGCACGCCCATCCCATGGGACAACTGTGACCAAGTCCTCCTCTGCCCCCTCCTCAACTGCAACACGCACCACCACCTCCTCCTCCTACTCCTCCCTTTCCCCTTCACAATGTAACAGTGCTTCCTCCTCGCCCCTAGTTTATAAAAACTCATCTTCCTCATCTGTTAATCCATTTCCTTTCTCTCACTGACTATATATATATATATATACATAATGCACTGTTTAACGCTGTTTAACACATTGAAGAATGGATGCAGAAACATGAAGAAAGTATCTACTTCATCTGTGCACTGGTTTCGTAATGGGTGGGTGAAGGATCTGACAGTATTAGAGGACGGCTGAGAGAGAGAGTGAATGATAATTGTAGAGTTGGGCAGGCTGTGCGTGTGTGTGAAAGAGGATTTTTTGTTTTGAAGCTTGTAGTGTTAAAAAGTAACACCTCCTCGCTGTTCTATTCCCACTGATGCATGTGGCTATCGAACCTCACACGTTTATTTCTATTTTGCATTTATTTTTATTTGGTGGAGTGGATTGACCAGCTGCCATCACACACAGTGGACTTGTATAATGGAACCAATTAATACTGCTCTATGCCATCACATGCATCTTGTTCTAGTTCTCGTAATCATTTTTTTAAAAAATAAAAATAGTAATTAATCAGAGCCTTGCACTCTTGTGGGTCCCTTGGGAAGATATAATGGGGATCCCTCTGAGACGGAGGCTCCATTTAGATGCACTACTGCACATGAGGGGCTTGCATCCTTGTAATTCATTTGTTGATTAGTATTCTAATTCAATTCAAATTAACCAACTTATGCCTAAAATGGCAATGAATAGCTTACTCATTTTCTTCATGGAGGCCACCCATGTATATCTTTAGAGAACTTGTTGGCTAACCCATTTTTTTTTTGTTTTTTTGACACCCTTAAACAATAAAAATAAATAATGTTTTTAACGAATAAATATGGATTGATGGAGAACATACCATAATGTGTCAACATATCAGTACCAACTCTTCATTCAGTACCTTAGGTAGTTTAAGGTTGTTGTTGACTGAATGAAGATGAATTTCTTAAAATAATGTTCCTCCAAACAACAAGTCCATGTTGGTTTGAAAATTTTAACTTGCTCATTTTAATTCCATAACTTGGATCAAGAGTAGCAAAGTGCAATCTAGAGAAAAGGTAGTCCATGGGTGGATTGCCTCCTCAAAATGACTTAAGCAGGTGAAGAAGAAACATGCCAAATTGTGGTGGCATTGCTTGGATAGAAATTGATGACTTATAAAGTGACAAAAAATATACCATCATCTTACTCCACAACCTCTCTAGCTATGCTTACAAATCTAAAAACACACAATCCTTATAAAAAGAAGCAGTGTGTTTCCCTTTGCCCCAAACTTAACCCATGCAGAAAATAATCTGCTAGAAAATATTCATTTAAGGGATGAGTTGGAGGTTTTGTTTGCAAAGTCATTCAGGCTGCTTTCATCACCATGAGGCTACTTTGGTAAGCAGGCACATCCAAAAGAAATTGGACATGCCTAAATCATTGAATTGGATAAATAACTACTAAATAAATCTATATATATTCATATATTTGAGTTCAAATATGGAGAGTCTTTTGAGTTTTGGAGGTTATTTTTTTGGCTTGTGGAGGTTATTCCAAAAAAAGTATTGTTTTTTTATGTAGATGCAAATATTGGAATTATTTGTGATCTGAAGCTCATTTTTTTATTTTTATTAATTCATTTAAAAATTAAAACACTTCAAAATCAGTCATGCATGAATGCTTTGTGGTTACTGATGATAATGTCTGTCAAGAGTTTTGCGGATTACACTTTTGTTTTGTTTTGTTTTTCTTTTGAATATTAGTTTAATTCTTCTGTATTTCATGAGATTATAATATTGTAAACATAAATATTGAAATATTACTGACTAAAGGAAATAGTGGTCTAAATTAAATACATTATTGATCATGAACTCCTATAAAAATTATATCAAGCTTGAAAACACTTGGAGAAATGTTGAGAACAGAGTTGAACTATTTGATGATGGAAAATAAAATGTTTGGAGTATGTAAGAGGAGTGATTTGGAAAACCATATAATGAATTTCCCCACCAAAATATGTATATGTATATACATTATTATTTTTTAACATATAAAATAAATGTATTTTGATTTTAAAAAAAATCTATCTCACAATTCTTTTGCTTGATTCTGTTATTTCTTTAATAAATTTTTTGAACTTCATATTTATTGTTGTGTATTTATTTTTATTTTTTTTATGAACAAAGCATATATATATATATATATATATATATATATTTGTGTGTATAAATATATAGATTTTGTACTAGCATAAACCTATGCAATTGGGTACAAAATCAATAAGACGAAGTTAATTAGAATTCATGTATTTTAACAAGTGTATACACATGTTCAATTATGGAAGCGACAATCTTACATTTATAAAGCTTTAAAACTTAAAAAAATAAATAAAATGATAACGGTTTGGACAAATGTGGGTGATTCAAATGGAATTATTTTATTTTAAACTAGAATGGAATAATGAAGCATGTGAAGGGAATTTTTTAAATAAATTATTTAATTTTTCTAAGTAAGAATTAAACAACACAATTTACAAAAAACAAAATATATCATTATATATACAAATAAAAATCCAAGTATATTTTTGAAATTTCCTGTCTGCAATTTGTATGAAATTCAAATGAAAATGCATAACCCAATGGCCAGGCTAACATTTAATAAACTGAAATTATTAACAATCCAGTGAAACTTTTTAAGGATATTGTAAGACTTTAGATTATATATATATATATACGTACATGTATTAATAATAAACGTTTGTTTGTTTGTTTGTCATCAAGGTGTTATCAGAATGTCTTTGTTGCACAGTCCTCAACCAATCCCATAGAAACAGTGCTGATGCTTCATGTTTTGTTGAACAAACTCCAACCAATTTTTTCTCCTTTACATTGAATTATTTTTCATTTTTTTCATTTTTTTTCATTTTCCTTCCCATCGCAAATTAAGGTCCCCAAAACACTTATTAATAAACATGTATACACTCACACATACATTCATACATTCAAATGTGTGTGCGTAATTTTATATTTGTACTCATATTAAATGTTACATATCAATCCCAATTATCTTTGGAATTAGTACTTTTATAAATTCGTAAATACGTCACAATGCTACAGAAAGAAATGAAAATAAATAAAAAATACTTCACCTTTCTCAAGTTTGAAGTCAAGCCTCTATTTATTGAGTGGTAGCGAAGTGACGGGAAACCTCGAAGATGATAAACGAAGAGCGACTGCCGGGTACACACACATAAATGCATAAATACAACAATACATATTCTTGACACAGAAAAATTTTACTATATACTATATACGATATACGCATAAAAATCCTGGTTCGGGTGGTGTGGTGTGAACGCGTTGTGGGCCGTTGCCGCGAGACCACCGACGAGGGGCCAGGCGAGGAGGACGTAGAGGCAGAGTGTCATGGCGGAGGCAGGGGCCAGCACTTGGCAAGCAAATTGGCGTGCGATTGGGATTCGGCGACTTGGGTTCTCCTCGTTGCACCTTTGCATGCGTGGGTTCATGAGCGCCTGCACTACCCACAACGCCTTTTTGTCGTGGAAATGCTCTCCATTGCATCTATTTCTCAGAGCTCAGCGTTAGAAAATTAGGGTACTGAGTCGAGTAGAGCGCAGCATTTCGTTGGAGGGATTTCTCTGGGACCGATTGTCTATAATGTTTCCTTTTCCTTTTTGTTTTTAGTTCCTCTGGATGTGGAATGACTTTTGCGCAGTGACATCGTGAGCTTTGAGTGTTGTGGATGATGTGGGTATTTTAGGTTTGCGATTTTTTTCGCCACAGAGTGGGTGTTTCAATTCGTGATTGAAGTCTCAGAGGTTGGAATTTGGGGCCTGCGCGAGTTGCGTGAGCTCAATCTTACGTGTGAGTGTGGTTTGGTTTGTGGGACTTTGAATTTTCAAATTTTGGGGTAGTGGTGTTTTTGGGTAGGGGTAAACGTGTCGGGTTCTGTTGCCAGGTTTCGGCCATGGCCGTGGCCGTGCGAGGAGCAAGAGCAGGAGTGGCACGCGACTTGCAGACCCTGCTAGGGTCAATGAGCGTGAGGTCCATTTCGTCATCGGCACCATTGTTCAAGGACCATTCCGCAGACGATTCATCCCTGAAGCACAATCCCTTGAAGCATCATAATTCGAAGTCTTCATCAGCCAGCGACCTGACTGGTGAGGAGGAAATCGTAAAACCTAAAGAGAGGAAGAAGTTGCTTGTGCTAGGAGGGAATGGCTTCGTGGGTTCGCACGTGTGTATGGAAGCCCTCGCCAGAGGAGTCCCTGTTGTGAGCCTCAACCGAACTGGCCGACCCAACACATCCGACAGCAGCTGGACGAACAATGTCGTGTGGGTTCGAGGTGATTTATTTGATCCATCTCGGTGGGAAGGTTCATTAGACGAAGTGCAGTCAGTGATTTCATGTGTTGGAGGTTTTGGGACAAACGAGCAGATGCGGCGCATCAATGGTGAGGCAAATCGAAGTGCCGTTTGGGCTGCCTCGAAAGCGGGTGTAAAGAAATTCGTATACGTCTCCATCGCGGACTTTGGCCTGCCCCCCTTCGTGTTGCCAGGCTACTTTGAGGGGAAGAAGATGGCCGAGGACGCCGTGCGGTCAAAATTCCCCTACTCTGGTGTAATTCTGAGGCCAGGCTTCATTTACGGGACACGAAAGTTTGGTGGCGTGAACTTACCCCTTGGCATCATAGGAACTCCTTTGGAAACCGTTATGACGCAGGCAAAAGTTCTCTCTCAAATTCCTCTTGTAGGTCCCCTGTTTGTACCTCCTGTGAATGTCGAAGCCGTAGCAAAGGCCGCAGTTAAGGCTGCCCTTGGCCCTGTTCCCCCTGGAGTGATGGATGTGTGGAGTATTATACGACTTGGAAGCCACTGAAACGTTCGTAACATTTGTAACCTAATTTGTCTGATTCTATCATTCCTAAATCCTGTGGCTACCGGGCAAACTCTCACGATTGGTACCACAACAAAGAAGCTGAATTCGGATGCCATTGGTTCTACTTCTTTGCGCTGTAAATTTGTATCTTTGAATTGGTAAAATGATATTTCATGAGTCGGCTAGTTGCTATCTCTGGCCGAGAAATATCGAAATTATGCTACTGGGCAGTGCAATTCATGTTGCAAATTTGTCATGTGCTGCTGGAAAGGATGCTTCCTCAGCAAATGAAGGAACACAATATCTTTTGATTTTGTTTGGATGCCTCTCCCTACAAGAAACGTCTGTGTAACATGAGGTCCTTCGGTAATGTCGGGAGATAACCTTCAGGGTAACGGCAAGCCTTTTCACAAAATTTCAGCTGGCAGCTCATGCAGCTGCTTTATGTTGTGAGTACGATGTTAATTGAGCTTTTGATTTTTCTTCAAGTGTACATTGCTTTGTTTTCTCCACTGGTTGTGCCTTGTCATTTGTGAAGATAAATGGTTATAATCCGTAGCCTGCATCAAAGCAGATACTGTGAGATTATATCTGGGGCCTCATGGCTTTTTGTAATTGCTGTCATCTGTGATATAGGAGTTGTGGAGATGTGAGGACCAGCCCAAAATGGCTCACCATTTGTTTTGTAGCTTTGAGAGGTGTTAGTGTAATTCCCCAAATCGGTTCATTTCCTCTTGTTTTGTTCTCGTTTTCTTGAATATATTGTCTGCTTGGAAGTGAAACCTCTGATGAATTATTGGTCTTTTCAAACAAAGTGTACTCTCTGACCCTCGAGAAATAGTCCTCTGAGATATTTGGACCTTTTAATCCGCCACAAGCTCAGTTCTCAACTTATTTGTGTTTCAAAGCATTTCATATTTTACTATTATTTTAAAAGTTTTGCTGTGCAATCAAAGTGTTTTGATTTTATTTTTGATTTAGTTTCTGACTTCTTCGAACATCTACAAACCCTTGTCGTGGTTGAAATGAAGTGTTTTAATGTTTAGAAGTTTTTAATGGAATGATTTGTACATACATCAAGATATATTTTGTACATGAAGGATGGATTTACAGCAAATGTCTTAACCATGTTATGTTAAATTGAATTAGATGTTTCAAAACATTTTATATATTAGCCTTTTTTTTAAGATAACTAGGTGCTTATGACTTCGTATCTGCCACAATATGGGCTCAAAGTTGTAATATAACCAAAGTCTGCATCGTCAATTCTGATTATGTTGAAGACATTCTGTTGGATATTTGATGTGTTGAATCGTTTTAAACATTCTTATCCAATATCTAAAATTTTAAGAAATCATTTAAATTTTAGACTTTTAGACTTTTAGAATTATGACGTGTAAAGAAAAAAGAAGTGAAATGTATACTGTTGACCAGTCTCAAATGATTTTCATAGTTAGAATAGTTACATATGATTTAGATTTTTAGAATATATAATTTCGAATTGAACTCATTTATTTACTTATTTACATTTTAATTTGGCTTTGAATTATATTATGTCAAAAAAAACCGAAATGCTTGACCTACTAAAGAAAGGATAATAAACCGCTGCAAAAGAAAAATGGTTTGAAAAGAAATTTGGCAAATCACTTGCAAAATAATAAATTTGACTTCACGTTTTCAAAAAGATATTGTGACATTCTTGTTGCCAGGAAATCAAGACAAATCACATGATTCTATCTTAAAATATACAGGATTCAAATGGCATTAACTTTACAAAACCTCGGATTCGCATTCGAAGCGTGGTGTATCCGAAGATGATGGATCCACTGCAGTTGCAGATTTTGCTAATTTATGAAACATGCTATGAATTCAATCAGTTACAGAGAATCAGAAGACGTTGTTGTAATCATCTCAAGCTTCCTCTTCATCTGCCCCAATTCATGTTCCTTGTTCTATTTCCTCATGTATATATTATTTACCTCTGATCGGACCACCTTGTGTACATGAAACCTCCAGTGTAAGACAAGACGACCCATCTAAGGTTTCCAATGTCTTCAACTTAAAGGTGCCGCTGCATTCAAGTTGCTCAAAGGCGATACTTTCAGGTGCTGCAGATAATCAAGACTAAAGATTCTGCAAAAGCCGAAAACAAAATCTGTGAATAGCGAGCAACTGTACACACAATTCTTCGAAGATCAAAGTGAAGCAATCGGAATTTAGTAACCATGTGCAACAATCGGCTGCAGATTTTCTAGGAAGCATGGACCAGGGATGGCTTTGCACATCGAGATAATTCTCGATCACAAAAACATCAACAATCGCAACAACAAGCTCAATTTCCTGTTGTCTGATCCCTCCACCGATTGTTACCTTGCATTGAAAGCTAATAGACGGAGCTTCGAAACGTTTCGGAATTGGTAAGGAATGTGCTAGAACCATTAGAAACTATCAGAGGAAAGATGGCATTCTGCACCTAAAAAAAAAAACAACCCAGCACTGTTTTGTAAGAATGTCACAAAGCACTGTTCGAACACGAAGGAATTAGTCAACACACAAAAAAAAATACACACTTTATGGAACTAGTTTACTGGACCGTCCGTTGTGTGCTTATCGATCTACTCACTCAACAACGATCCCTCAAACTGTTGTTAGCTTTCGTGCCTGTTCAGTGTATTTGGAATCATGTGTGATTAGAATGGTAGCAATTCATTGGGATTCATGGGGACATGTTTTTTGAATAAATATATATATATATATATATATATATACATATACATATAACGTTATTGTAGATGAAAGTGTGAAAAGAGACCCAAGTCCAAAAATCCTTACTGTGTATTTTTTTACTTTATTTTAAAGATTTATTATTATTGTAATTATTACTGAAGTTTTTGTTTTAAAAGGTACTCTAATGTTAAAAAATTAAAAAATTCATGTTGGAAGACAATGGGACATAAGGAATGTAATTTTAAACACATCTGGTCCATGAAGTGCATTTGTGATATCTACTAAAAACATATTAATATAAAAATTTAAAAATTTAAAGGCAAAATGTACATTTTTTTATATGTCGAAGTATTTTTTAAAAATGTTTAAGAATAAAAATATATTTGATAATATTTAACATATATATATAAATATATATATGTTTGTTCAAAAATACTTAAAAAAATACTTAGTATATAAATACTTAAAAAAAAATTTATATATAAGTAGATAAGTACCTAAGTTTTAAAATTTAATTCCAAAGATTATTTTGAATTAATTTGAATAAATTTCTTATAGATATTTTAAAACATAAATATGCAAATATTTTTGCTTCATCAATACTTATAATATAAATAATTAAAAAATAGTGATTTAAAAAAAATTATACTAAATAATTAGTATAATCTTAATAAAATATTATAAAAATATTAAATATTAAATATTATTTATAATTTTTATTAACTTTTAAAAATTATTTTAAATATTTTTATAAAAATAATTTCACCACATTTAGAAACTACCATAAAAAATTGGAAAAAGTTTTATAGATCTTATAAGTTTTTATTTTTTATTTTTTATTTTTTATTTTTATTTTTTATAAATGTATTTTAATTAGATTATTTTGAAAATAATGATGAATTTAAATATATATATATATATATATATATATATATATATAATTATTAATACAAACTACAACAACTAATAATTATCGTAGTATTAGCAATAGTAGGATATTGATTGCATATGACTTACATGAATTTTAGAACATTGGAGGTTGTTATGAAGATAAGATTTAATATCAAGGACATGAATTGCAAAGAACTAAAAGATCAAGACACTTTTGTATCACTCAAAGAGACTAGATATTCATTCAAATATGGTATAATATTAAACTATAATGACTGTTGTTAAAGATAAGAAGACTAAAAGATCTTGAAACAAGACTAAGGACTAAAAAAAGCATTGAGAAGAGTGAAGAAGGCTTTATTTTTGCCTCCATATATACTATCTAACTAGGAGTTATGTAGCAATGTTCTATAGAACTTCCAACACATGTTGACTTTGCAAGACATATGTCTTAACTTGCAAGGCAAGTTTTTTAAATGTGTCCCACATAGTTAATTTATTCCATAAGCTATCAATACATATAACATGTAGGTAACTTATTAGCCAAGTTTTTAATGTACTAATTAATTATAAATATATATGAAGTCAAATACATGTCTATGAATCTTTTAAGAAGCTATGCCACAAGATTATATTAAATCTACCTACATTTACTTTCTATCTAACATTTCTTATCTAGATAATTATATAAATCTATGACATCATCTTTCCTTCTAAAAACAAGTTCTATAAGGAGCGGTCATCATCTTTCATGGATCTTACTATTCTCCATCTTGATTTTGATGAATGTCATCAATGAAAAACATCAATATTCTTTGCTGCATTTGTAAGATTTTTAGCAAGCTCCTATGTACATTTTTTAATATCATATTTATACCAATGAATAAGATATTCCAATCTATTTTGGTGCCGCTTTGAATTTAAAACTTCTTCTACATCAAATTCTTTATTATTATTTATTTTTATAAGAGGAAGTGGCATTTGTCTTTTTTTAAGATATTCATTTTTTATATAGTTCAAAAAGAGATATGAGGAATTTGAAATGAATCTTTATAGATTCTAGTAGATATAAATGATATGCAACTAGATTGACTTATTTACAAATAAAAAATGATTTAAGCCTATGGTAATCTAATTTATTATATGAGCAACTAGTCTTCATATTATGACAAAGTAATCATACCTTGTTGCCAACATAGAATTGAGGTCGTTCCTTATGATAGGTATTTGTATTAATCTTTTGTTGTTCTTGAGCTTCTTTTAATTGTGCCTTCATTGTTGTATGTTGTTTAGATAAATAATTTATCAAATCTTCCATTGCAAGATTATTAACCTATGAAAAGTCAAAAGCATCAAGTTGTAGATAATAACCATAATTAGTAAAAAATATATTTATTACATAGAAGAATGTATTATATTATTATCAGCAAACTCTGTCAATGGCAAAAGATTTGTCCAATCAACTTGTTGGTAGTTAATGGTATATCTCAAATACTACTCCAAAACTTGGTTTAGACTCTTTGTATATCCATGAGTTGAAGATAGCTTAATGTCTATGTTTAGAATCATAAAAAAGATTTTTTAAAATCTTGATACAAATTGAATCATCCTATCTGATATAATATCCTGGAACAATCCATAATAAGAATAGATATTGTCAAAAGAAAATTTAGCTATTTTTTTATATGTGATAGTTTTTGTATATAATTCAAAATATGACATCTTTGTAAAACAATCTACTATCATAAATATAGAATCATATGAACTTGGGATTAAAAGATCTATAATAAAATATATAGAAACAAAAGACCACGATTATTTTGGCATAAGTAATTGCTAAAGAAGTTCATAAGGTCAATAACAAGGAGTTTTTGATCTTAAAAAAATTTCACATGATTATAAAAAGTCTTTAATTACCTTCTACATTTAAAGCCACTAAAAATCTTTCAATATTAGTTTCAAAGTCTTATTGTATTCAAAATTTTTGATTACTAAAAAGTCATGACAAGCTTAAAAAGTAATTAATTGTACTTTGCCTTTTGAAATATATAATTGTCTTTTGAAATAGAGTATATTATTTTAAAATCAAATTTGGAAGAATCATGAAACTTATAAGAATTATTATTAATATCATAAACTTAAAGATCAAAGAACATACTTGATTGAACATGCTTGAGATAGGTTGAATTAATAGTCAATATTGATTTTATTGCTTAAAAATGAAAATAATCTAGCTTCAAAAGAATCATTTTTTGCTAATGAAAAGTTACGTCTTTTCTTTTTGATGCATGATAAGAATATTTAAAAAAAGTATTTAATAAACCTTAATACTTTTTAAGTTGATATGTGTTTTTGAAATCAAATTTTGATAAATATATGCTCCAAAAAGCTTAGAAATGATTCAAAATACATGCTGATATAAAATACTTGAGGTTCTTATGATTTGCATACATAATAATTAGATTAAAATTATTTTTTAGATAATAATATCATTCTTAAAATGAATCCATAATTACAAAAAGCTCTTTATTGTGGATCTCAGAGTTGATTTTGGTTGCTCAAATTTTCTTAGAATTGAAAGCTATTAAGTAGAGCTTCTTATCTACTCCCATTTCTAACAAAACCATACCAATAACAAAGTTTGTTGCATCTATTTTAAAAAGTTGATGCAGTACAAGATCAGTTTAAAAATAAATATTGTCTTTAAGGCTTGAAAAGATGTTTTAACTTCTTAGCTCAAATTAAGTTTATCTCTACAAGTCAGATATGTAAGAAGAGCTAGAAGTTCAAAAAAATTCTTGATGAAGATTTGATAATAATTGATATATTTTAAAAAATATTATATATTTTTAAGTATTTTTTAAATCTTTTAATCTATGATAATTTTAATCTTCTTAGGATCCATCATAAAACTTTCATCAGAAATAATATATTCTAAGTAGTCAATTTGAATAGTATGGAATAAATACTTTTTCATCTTGGTGTATAATCTTGCATCTCTAAGTTTTTGTAACATACAATAAACATGAAGTTCATGTTCTTTTGTATTTTTAGATTAGATTAAAATACCATTTAAATAAAAAAATGATAAAATCATTAAGAAACTCACAAAAAATATCATTTATAAGATGTTGAAAAGTAATTGGTGCATTTGTAAGTCTAAAAGGCATGTCATTATATTTGAAATATTCATATCTAGTTTGAAAAGAAATTTTTTATTCATCTTTTCTTTTAATGCATATTAGGTTGTATGCTCTTTATAGATCTATTTTTATATAGATCTTTATTTGATTTAATTAATCAAAAAATCTTGAAAAGAAAGATAGAGGATACCTATTCTTAATGGTGATCTTATTAAATCCTTGATAGTCTACACACATCTACAGAGATCCATCTTTTTTCTTCACAAATAAGATAAAAGCCTAAGTTGGAGATTTAAAATGAAATAGGAAGTTCTTAGCCAAATTTTCATCAATGTGCTCTTTAAATACAACCAATTCATTTTACACTAGGCTATAGATTGATCTAAATAGTGATTGAGCTCATTCTTGAAGATCAATGGAATAATCATAAGGATGATGCTTTGAAAAAATATTTAAATTTTCTTTTTCAAAAATCTTTTAATGATCTTAGTATTAGCTTGGAATGCCACTTGAATCTTTTTTCCATCAACAATAGATATGTCATATATAGCAAAAGTTGATCTTTTTTTTTGTAGCATGCATAAAAAATCTTACACTTATCAATAATGGTTTGGATGTATTGGTCTTATAGGTTTCTACTTGCTTAGCATAATCTTAAAAAAAAACTACAAAAAAAATTAAAGGTATGAAAATTCCAATCTAATTGAGGATTATATTTTTTTTACCACAATAATCTTAAAATAATTGGATTAGAGAGAGATCTAAATACATTAAATATTACTAAATTATTATGAATACTTATTATTATATCTAAATAAATATTTATATATACAACATCTCCAAAAAATAATAAACAACCATTTATTACTTGTACATGCATTGAATTGGTTTTCTTAATTAAAATTTTTTCTTGTTTTTAACAAAGTCTTTATCTATAAAACATGTTGAGATTCTTG